CATTACGTTTGTCCAGAGTTGCCTTCTCCATTTTTTTTTGAAATCAGCTGAAGCAGCTGGCTGAAAGTTTAACAAATCAGTTATAAGAGATTAGCTCTTTCTATTATGTGGCTGGAGCACTCTTGATGTGGTAAGACATACCTGAGAACTGTATTAACTTCCTCTTTTAATCAAAAAGAGGTTCAACACCCCAATCATTTCTCCAGGCAGCTCTCCTGCTTTTATAGTCATTGATCTGAAGACTGAGAAGTCATACCTGTGACCGTGGTGATTATTTACAAAGAGCAGTGCCCTGATCATGCCTATGAAAGTTTCAAAATAGTATTTACAGCAGGGTCAGAAACCTCCAGGAGTCCCACTGCAATCATACAAATTTTGCCTTTTGCAAAAAGCAACACAACACAGTTCATCAGCTGTAAGTAACAGTAGTGCCTGAGTATCATGTTCACTTCTTGGTTCGTTACTAAATAGAAAAAAAAAGAAAAAAGAAAAAACTACCACAAATACTTCTGCAACTTTGTATCAGGATCCGGATATACAATTCTAGATCATTGGATATGGCCCTACATGTGTATTCATTCACAGTATTTAAGCCAGTGCTGCATATAGAAGGTCCTTGGGTTTTGAGCACTGAAAACCTTGCGACACCCTGAGCCCAGAACTCAGAGACAGTTTCAACCAAAGATGGATCAAAAACTACCAGGCTGAAATGTAACATCAAAATGCTATTCCATTGTGTAGAGCAAGTGGGAATGTACACAAATCTAAGCGGATGGTGTTTGGTCCAGGTAACTCAGAGCTATGAGGACACGGTGTGAAGGATCTGTGTCAAAACCCAGAATAACCCAGGTCGGAAGGGACCTCTGCATTCCCAGTTCCTGCAGGTTATTCCGGACCCATCCAGCCAGGTAGTGTCCAGGCAACTGTGCTCTGCTTACACCAGGAGGAGAAGCAACCCATCATTCCAGGTTTAACTATATTTTAGAGTCTAAAAAAATGAGTATTAGGAAATCCTGCTATTATGCTACTACACACACGCAAATGCAAATACTATGAACTGTGCTTTCTAACTATACCTCTGTGCTTTGAGAACGGGGATTTATCGTGCTTGTAGTATGGGTTCACACAGGCAAATACTAATCCAAATAAAACTGCAAACAAGTTTCTACTGGAATTTTGCAGCATAAAAGAACATTGTAAGAAATACATTCCTGAGCTGAGCAGAAATATATGTGAATGCTAGGAAAGCCCAAATACCACCTGGCTATAGTAAAGAAATTATTTATAATGCAGTTAAGTCATTTTTACTTTGTTTTGTAATTCTGATCCGACCACAATTCTGGGGGAAAAAAAAAAAAAATTAACGTGTCTTCTGAAGTGTTCTGCTATACAATCATCAAAGATAAACCTTCAGCTTTAGTGATATGCAAACGAAGACATGTTTGTTAAAAGGATTAACAAAGTTGTTCAAAGCATCTTTTTAGAGTCAGTCTAGTCTGCTTCCAAACAAACAATAAACTATCCGCATGCAGTGAGATTTTCTAACCCGTAAACATCGCCAAATGGAGGAAGGAGATCAGGACCTTAATGAGTTTGGTCTCCTTTGAATTTTAGCTGATCAGTGTCACCAATAATTTCAACAGGCTCTAAAATAAGCACTTTCTATCTTCAAAGTGCCTTCCAAACATCAACCAATTAATCCCTACAACTCTCGGCGAGGTAGGTAAGTAGGTATTGTTATCCCTGTTTTACAGTCGGATGAACAGGCAGAAGGGTTAAGTGATTTGCCCGAGGCCACAGATGGAGGTGGGATTAAAACACAAGAGTGACTATGACTCCTTTCAGAGGACAGCACTTTTTTTTTTCCTACTGGGATTTTTGTGTTCTGACATTAGACATCTTGGCTTTGTGGCAATACTCGAAGGAAATAGAATATATTCTGCCTTGTTAAAAGCAGGAAGTCATAAAGAAATCTGTTTTTTTTTTTTTTTATGCCAGTGTACATCACCTTTTTTGTCTTATATACTTTACTTTTCTTCTAATATTCAAGTGCCATTCCTTCCATGCAAGGACTCCTTCCAGCAGTAGTGTAATATGCTACCAATTGACAGATACGCCCTACTCTTTTGCAGACTTTGTCTTTTTGCTTCCAAATCAGTAAGTCTTGGTGACACACTTCCCATAAAATAGGAGGACACTGTCCTTGCAGGATCAGAATCTCCACGGCAGCACAGGCAGGAAACCTGGAGAAATGGGGACATGGAACCAAGAGCAGAGAAAGCCATTAACTGAAATCCAACTCCGACAAACTGTTTGCGACTGTTCTAACAGGCGTAAGATTGATACCTTTCCCATTTCAGCAGAAGTATCAGATGAAAAAAGCACTGTCTATGCTGTTCCTCAATTTGTACACAACTTAGGGTCACTTGAAGACACATTTATCATGAATTCAATCCAGTGTATAGCAATCATTTGGGTTTCACAAGGAAATCACCCTCCTTTTCATCTGTTGGCCAGCTGGTCCACAGTACCAGATCCCTAGGGTATTTCTGAGAATAAAACAATACTCAAAACTACTGTCTCATGAATCCTGAGTATATTTGCTATTATCCTTTCAAAAGACACTTTCCCTTTTTGTCTCAAAACTCACTTTCAGAAGCCCTCCAATATAGGAGTTTGTACGGGTGAAAACAGTGAATATTTGAAAATTAATCCCTCCCTACTAAATAGTATAGTACTTTCATCCACATTGCTAGGTACATATCTTTAAGGCAGTTATCCATCTGTCTTAAAAGGCTAGCACCATTACTATTACCAAATAAGGAACTGTCTATTGAAATATCATGTTATTATTACACTCTGGTGGCATTTATGTGTTACATAAATCAGGGATCATATCTCCTTTAGAGACACCCATAGACAACAGTGTCATCAGCATTTTATTAGCTGGAAGTTTGCTTTCTTAAAGACACACACGAGGCTTTCAAATCAAGTAATTTAAAACAGATAAAGTGCAATTTGTTTTCTGCTTCTGTATACATCGAAACTATAGGCTAATTTTCCCTAGAAGGAGAAAATACTTACACCAGGAAGATGTACTAGAGATACATTTTGCTCTTGCATGATCAGTACTTATGCCCCTTTTTAGAAGATGAAAAATAGGTTAATAATTCACAACCTGAGGAATCATATTGTTAGTATAACAGCGTAAGAACACACAGAATTTTGTATCTCAGAAGGTACATTTTCAGAAACAAAAATATATACCACATGGGTTAGGAAGTGTCCGGTTGTCCAGTTTTCACAGCAATTTTGTCACCAAAAAAAACATGTAATGCAAAACATAAGCTTGAAAATTGCTATTTGCTAGCTCTATCTTAGGAAGATTTGTAGCTAACTCTCAGAATTACATGCTCTGCAGAAACAGCCCCCTTATTTATCACTTTGGAAATCATTAACTCACACTCTGCAGTCCTTTGTGCAACAAAGGAAGTTTTCACATGAGCTTTCTGCTAGCAGAGACAAAAGGGATTGATTGTAGATACAAAGTAGCAGTGTGAATGGTAGTTTTAGAGGATCTTCAGCCAAACACATCTCAGTGACATCTCATCAGGTAGAGGACCAGTCTGCAAAATTCCTACAACTCAGCACTACCATGTTTCAGGGCCAATCCAGGGTATTTATTTCTCAGATCCAAAATTCTTATGCTACCTATAAATACAAATAACTCCTTAAGTCACTACCCACTATTCCATTAATTAACAAAATCAGCTTCCACATAAGACCTCTTGCTGTTACAGGTTTCTTCGTACCATAAAAAGGAGGAGTGATGGTAACACTTGTCTGTGTGAGCTGTACTTACACCGTCTGTACTGTGTCCATACCTGACACGTCCACACACTCCACGCTGTCCAGCCCAATCACTCGTCAAATTTGCCAGACAGCCCTAGACCATTGGCCACAACCCATCACCATTACAGGCATATTTTAATGTCCTGGACTGCTCAGGTAGAGAAGGAGCAGTATATAATCTCCCATGCACCTCCCACACCAGAATACTTTTTCCATAAAAAATACATCTGCCACCCATATGAGTTTCTGGCAAGGTAGGATCTACTTTTTCCAAAAGTTCATCTCCTCTGTATGCAGTACTGAGCAGTGTTTAGTACCTGTTCAGCATGAATATGTCTGAAAACCTGGTCTGTACTTTTGCAACTCCAGTAGCCTGGAGAGTCTATCCAAAAGTGACCCTGTGCTGGAAACTGCACAGCAATTCCCAGTACCAGCAGCCTGGCATCTTCCGTATGTGAAAAGGTGAAAGATGACTATACAAAAGCTGGTGTACTGATCTCTATATAAAAATCCCTCGTCTCATTTTACTGCCCATCTGTCTGCCTGGTCATCTAACCTTGGGCTGCAAATTACTTTGGGCATGTGTTTTCCCTTCTGTACATCTAGAAAGTAGTGAACAGATCGCAAGTTCTATTGCAACTTGTGGAAAATACGGAAAGAAGAGCAAAAACAACAATTTTGTTTCTCACAGTTGTTTTTAAGGAAGTTCAAGCGAATAGAATTAATGTCCCATGAAGCAAGTAAAGAACGCAAGGTTTATTATTTTTAGTTCTCATGGTAGTCCACTCCCTCAAACCAGTCCACACTTTTAAGACACTGAGCATGGCAATCCATGGTTTTCAATAAAGTGTGCAGCACCATTATTTTGCTGTATTTTCTGCCTGTTCCCTGTTTTATTTATTTATTAACATTTACAGTTCTGGCGATGCTCCAAAGCTCTTTGGCGCAATGAGCCGTCATCCCGTCTCACCCGAGCTCACGAAGCACCTGCAGCTCCTCAGCCCAGCCGGGAGGCTCCTTGCGGCAGCCTCTCCTGGCGGGGCACGAGGGGGCTCCAAGCCCCCGTCTCCCCTCACTTTCCGTGTCCCCTGTTTTATTTATTTATTAACATTTACAGTTCTGGCGATGCTCCAAAGCTCTTTGGCGCAATGAGCCGTCATCCCGTCTCACCCGAGCTCACGAAGCACCTGCAGCTCCTCAGCCCAGCCGGGAGGCTCCTTGCGGCAGCCTCTCCTGGCGGGGCACGAGGGGGCTCCAAGCCCCCGTCTCCCCTCACTTTCCGTGTCCCCCTAGACGGCCTCTCCTCGGCAGGGACGAGCACCCGCCGCGGGCCGGCGCTGGGTGCAGCTGCGGGGCTGCAGGG